TTCGGAGATGGGCCAAATCGGTCCACTTTTTTTACTTCTTCTCCCACAAAAGGTCAAAATTGTCAAAGAAAATAACATACTTCATAAATAGAGTAAGGATCATTTAATTTTATGCAAACTTTGAAAAATATTTTTGTCAGGGCTAGGTCAAGTGCGAAAATGGAAAAAATCGGCCCATTTCATCAAGTATTTCCCCCAAAAAGGGTCAAAATTTGGAAAAAATATAAATCTTATAAAATGCGAATTAAGAGTCCGATTGTGTATAAATTTCGCAATTCCCAATACTTTTATTAATACAGCTTCTGATGTGAAGATGGAATATATCGGTCCACTCGTTTTTGTACCTCCCCCACATAAAGGTCGTAAAAAGAAATGATCATCAGATTTCTTTCAAACTCGTTAAATCTCAATATTTCTATCAACACAAGATATGTTGTGAAAATGGAGTATATCGGCCTACTCCTACTGGCACCTCACCCACAAACTATGATGAAATGTTGTATAACCCGAACTCTAAAATCTGAAAAAGGCATCCGATTCATTCTAAGCTTCACTCATTCCAATATTTCCACTAACACAAAAACTTGTGTGAATATGGAACATATCGATTCATTCCTTCCGGTACCTTTCCCACAAAGGCTCAACATTTTTAATCAATGTATCTCTCATAATATGCGATACTCGGCGGCGGCTCTTTTCAAACTTGGTTTATCTAAATATTTCACTCAACCAGAGATCTAATGTGAATATGGAATTATTCCTAAACAATTGCAATAAGATATATAGACCAAATCTGGCACCTTGTAATATTCATAAAAGACTTAGGTCTGATACGAAATGGACAACACTCGCCAATCTTTCCGGAATCTCTCCCATGAAGGGTCAAAAGCTAGTGCATATATATTGAATATGTAAACAAACAGACTTTTGCTTAGGGTATGCATCTATCGGCAAACCAAGTGATACTTTTTAGTTTGTTAAGGTTGTAATTTTCCCAGGAACATAAATAATAGGTTCACTCAGTCAAATTCAGAGGACAAATTACAAAGTACAACCGATTTTATTGTGAAAAATTACTAAATTATTAGTTAGTAGTAGAAGAGTTATATAGTAATACACAAATCTACGTGCAGGTCCACATTTATATTATATTATCCTTTAAATAACAAGTTCCAATTTTAATGAAATGGCCAAATGAGGTCCACCTCTCATCATTGCATTTGGAATGAAATATCTGGATTCTCTTCCTCATTAAAGTGCTGCACAGTTTCCTGGCATTAATTTGATGAAATAACTTTAATTATAAGTAATTCATTGAACGGCCACGGTAGAGGACACTCGAAGAGATACATCTTCGTCTTATCACATCTCATCAACGTTGATGGGAAATCATCATCCCCTCTCCCTGCCAATGCCTGACCATTAACAGACCATTTTTGGCAATGCGAATATTTCTCAGTTTACACGAACACCTCTTGATTGAGATTTTTATGTGGTCTTTATGCCAAGAACTACGTGTGTGTATGTGTGTCTGTTTCCAAGATAAACATACAATCAATGAATGGCCCCCGCAAAGAAGATATTTGGTGAGTATACAATGTGAACAGGAACATTGCACGAGGAGAGCGCCAGAAATTACTAATCAGCATGGATGAGGCATCCAGATGGCTTAATACAACTGCGAACGTGACCAAAACTCTATGAGCAAATGTTTGCCAAGATCCTGTGTTGCTGAAACTGTTTCGTCCTTGTTGTTGGTTACGCTTCCAGCTAGCGCCCCCGTGCCAAGTTACAACGCCATGTGCGATGTAATCGCACGCGTCCGCTTCTGTTTGGTAATGAAATCACATTTGCCAATCGACCGACGACCACAGTCACGACCAGCCGTTGAAGTGTAATACCTGTTCAAAGACAGCAGCAGCAACAACAACAGCAGGACACGTTGAATCTTAAAGGTTTGAAATCAAGAAAGATTCCACTGATGCCTATGGAATAATAATTAAACCCTTACTCCAAACGAGCAACTGCTACAGCAAATTGGCCTCTTTAAATTGGACTTCAAAGAAAGTGTTAAGTGCTGGCGATTTCCATAGCAAACGGATTTTAAAGTCCATTTAAAATAGATCGGAGAATTTGTTGGGTTTTTTGTGAAAAACAAATTAAAGAAAAATAAAAAGTTCATGTGAACAACACTGCTTACGTCTTCATCACAAAATCTCCATGTCCTAGATAAATTAGCCCATAAATCGATCTCCGATTATTTTTTATACCCTCCACCATACATAGATGGGAGTATATAAGGTTCGTCATTCCGTTTGTAACTCATCGAAACAATAATCTTAGACCTAACAAAGTATATATATATTCTTGATCGGCGCAAAATTCTAAGACGTTTACGTATGTTGTAATCACGATAGAGTCAAAACGAAATAAGATGGGAAACTAGAATTTTCAGGTCGAAAGCGGCTATATCGGTTCACAATATTGGTATCCCATACCTCGATAACTCGATATTCGGTTTGTGGCTTAAATCACATTTTTCAATGGAATTGTTTCAAAATCCACACAAGAAGTTAATTTGTTTGTACTATACAGGTTCACGATATCGTATAACCCCCATACAACGGCACCCCCGATATACGGTATTTTGGTGAATTTAGCGATGTTTTTACCGGAATTGTTTCAAATTTCGCATTTGTTGCTCGTATTGGGTACTACAACCTATGACGGAAAATTGTCTATGTAGGTCCTCGTCTTCATATAGTCCACATATAACGGCACCACATATAAGATTGCCGATATCGTATATTCCCCATGCAACGATTTGTTTTGAAGTTTTTAGTCACATTTTGCAATGGAATTGTCTGGAGTTCTTTCGCTCTAAAACTGAATTGTCTATATAGGTCCACGATATCGTATAGCCCCCATACGACAGTACTCCCGATATTCGCTATTTGGATGATTCTAACGATATTTTCTGTTGGAATTGTTTCAAATTTCGTAAAGTTCGTAATGGGTACTATAGCCTATGACAAAAAATACTTAGGCTGGACCACTTCTTCGTATAGCTCCCATATAACGGTTTTCTTTCCAGCTGCATTTTTCGACGAACTTTTTTGGAACATTTTCAAGTCCCTTCATATTGGTGAAGGATATTAAATTTCGGCCCGGCCAAACTTAGCTGCTTTTATATACCCTACACCTTGGAAAGGAGGGTATATTAACTTTGTCATTCCGTTTGCAACATCCCTAAATATTCATCGTATACCCCATAAAGATATATATTCATGATCAGCATAAAATTCAAAGTCGATTTGACGATGTACGCCTGTCTGTGAAATCGCGATACAGCCCACATTATTTGACGTAGAGCGTCAAAATTTAGCAGAACAATTTGTATTGTGCCTAGGACAATTGGTATTGAAAATGAGATATAACGCTCGACGTTTTCGTATAGTCCCCACATAACGGTACCTCCCGTATTCGCTATTTTCATGATCCTTGCCACATTTTTTCACGGATTTGTATAAAAATTGGTATTTGTAGGTCATAATGGATTCTTGCTCATGTGGCGAAACATTGTATGTATAGGTCCTAGTTTTTGTATAATCCCTATATAACGGTACCTCCCGTATTCGCTATTTTGATGATCTTTGCCACATTTTTGACGGATTTGTCTAAAAATCGGCATTTGTAGGCTATAACATTGTATGCATAGGTCCATGTTTTGGTATAGCCCCCATACAAGTGTACCCCCCGATATTCGATGAATTTTCCCACATTTTTTCACGGATTTGTCTAAAAATTTAAACTAGTTGGCCATGATGGCTTTTAACTCCGGTGGCGAAACATTGAATATTTAGTTAACGCACATTAAACGATACCCACTGATATTCGGCATTTTGATAATTCTAGTCAGATTTACCCACGAAATTCTTCAAAATTTGGTATTTAAGAATATTTGGTAGATGACATTACTTGAAGTATAAAATTGTCTTTAGATGTTCCCGTTTTTGTATGTCCCCCATATAAAGACCTAACCCACTTTATGGTTTTTGAAAAATTTAACAGCATTATACAAATGATATTTGTAATTTAAAGTGGAACACGTTTCAGATATTTTTATATAAAAATATGGAGGGTATTAAAAATTCGGCCCGGACGATCTTAATGTTTTTTACTTGTTACTTGTTTATGATGATCGTGAATACATATATACATATATATTTAATGCGGTCTTCGATGAATAGAAAACTGAAGTATTTGGTAGATTAACTTTCTTGTGAAAATAAAACTTACGCACAGAAATTGTGTCAATTCATCAACAACTCGGTCAAGCCCACATATAATGGGCCTCATTTGTGATAAATATTAACAGATTGAGGCAAATGGCAAATTTAATATTTGATAAAATTTACATAAATAAACATTTTCCAGAAATATTTAAAACAACAGTGAGGAACAAAACAATAACAGCATCGGTCAATATTTTGTGTTTATCCTAATAATGAACTTGAATGACTCCAGAGACGAACCTCCTCAAGCGTTATTTTTCATAAGATATTTACCCGCATTTCTGAAAACAGCCTGTTGTTGTTATACGATATTTAATGTTTTATATTTGTTGCTTTTGATCAAAAACTTTATAAATACCCAAATTATGGAGGAAAATTTTCCGTTGACACTTTTGGAGGTGTGTATCTTTGCTACAGATCATCGATGGACCTAAACAAACATTACCTACACATCTGTATTGATATGCCCCAAATTGATTTCAATTGATAATGAACTGAAGAAAACATTAACATCAACTCTGCTCAGAAATATGTTGCATAATTGGTTGCCTCCAATATTTAGACAACTGCTTAGGAACTTCCATACACAGTTTATTAAAAAATAATTTCCAATAAATACACACTCCAATCCGGAAGAAAGTATCATTCATTCATCTGCTCTGTGTTCTACCGAAGTATCAATTCAGAGCAGTCTTCCAATTCACAATGAAATTTTCCATTGGATTCCTCTTCGCCTTGTTGGCCATATTTTGTGCCATTCAATGCAGCTCAGCAGCCAATGCTCAAATCTCCAAAAAAGGACGTTTGGAAAATGGTTTATCTAAAGCCAAACACAAAGATGCCGACTTAGCCAATTTGGATAAAAAGCATAAGGAGGAAGCTAAAGAAGAAACTGAATTGTTGAAACCCAAGGAGCACAATGAGGATGATGACGAAGAAGATGAGGAAGACCAGTTGGTAGAATCGGAAAGCCGTGCCAGAAGGCGCCGCCGCTCCAGGAGGAGTAATGTTCGTCGCAACAGACGCAATAAGCAAAAGCGTCGTCGTGTTGTCCGTAAACAACGCAAGAACCGCAGAAACTTGCGCAGACAACGTAAACAGCGCAAGAATCGTAAAAATCGCAAGAATCGTAATATTCGCAAGAACCGCAGGAACCGTAAATTCAATCGCAGACAACGTAAAAATCGCAAAAACCGCCGCCAACAACGTCGTCGCAATAGGAATCGTTCCGGTTAAGATTCCAAACAAATTTGAATGAATAAAATGTTTCTTGAAAAAAAAACTTGTCAATTTTATTCAATTGTTTTATTTATTTGAAGTATCTGGAAGGAAATTAAAAGTTTACCAGCTTTGTATGAAATATGTGATAATTTTTAGAAAATATTAAAATGTGGGTGAGCTACCGAAGCATTCCATTTTAATTATTTATCTAATACAGATAAAAATATTGGCGTAGGCTTAATTACAAGAAAATCGAACATTTATATCCAATTTTAAGCGAAATCATAAATTCCATATTCATCTTAGGTTTCTGGTTGAGAGAAATATTTAGATATAGGAAGTTGTAAAGAGTCGCTGACTTGTTTCGTAAGTTATGATAGATACAAATTTTGAAAATTGTGACCCTTCGTGCATGAGGTACCAGAAAGGGGTTTGCAGATATATATATTCTTCACAACATCTTGTGTTAGCACAAACATTGGTATGTGTAAAATTTGAAGAGACTTGGATCCTCATTAAGTTTTCTTTGAGTGTTTTGTTTTTCAAAATTTTGAACCCTATGTTTGGGGGGAGGTACCGGAACAAATGGTCCGATCAATAATAGATCTTGCGTTGATGGAAATATTGAGATTTTTTAAGTCTAAATAGAATCGGATGTGAATTTCGCGTTTTATGATATTTATGTATATTCAAAACTTTGACTCTTTGTGGGGGGATGTGGTGCGAAATATGAAGAGAACCGGATACTTATTTCGAATTTTATAATCGTTTTAGTTATTAAAAACCTTGACCCTTTGTGGGGGTGTAGCGGAATTAATAGTCCGTTCTCTACCATTTTTATAAAATATCTTAAGGTGATATTGAGATGTGACAAAACTGAATGGAATCGGATATTTGAAGACAATCAAACTCTTACATTACGTTTTATAAGACTTATAATTATTCAAAATTTTGACCCTTTGTGGGGGATGGAAATATGAGGATTCGCAAATTTGGAGCAAAATCGGATTATTCTTTATTCTGTGTAGTAAAATATCTTTATTTATTTATTTCGACATTTTGTGGGGAAGGTAACAGAAATTGTGGACCGGGCTATATCGGTCTCCGACCTCGGTCTAAGTTTGATAATAATATTACTATGTACCAAGTTTGGACCAAATCGGATACTCCCTATCGTGCGTACCAGTCAGCCAGACAGACGAACGGACGGACAGACGTCGCTAGATCGACGTCTAAGGTCCTGAAACGGATTTGTCCAAAGAAACCTAGGGCCTAAATAAAAACAAATAAAAACTTATAAAGCAGGCCAACCAGTCAAAAAGCTCTAATGTAAAACCGGGTATGCCTTTCAACGACGGCGGGAAATATTAGCTTGCTGAATGTGTGTGCGAAAATTTCGTACGGATTTCGGAAGAAGAGAAGCACCGTCAACTGACACACGAAGCTAAAGAAGCATAATTGTTGCATTTGGGGCAGACACCCCTCACGCATACAGCTGCTGAGCCAAAAACGAGTAAATTTTTGGTGTGGATTTATGCGGATGCGAATTTAGCGATATCACGTGTCAAATGTCGTTGGTGTAGAGAACATCTTACGACTTTGGAAAGGCTTATATAAAAATCGGGTGAAAATCTGAATGGAGTGGTCCTAACTTACCTGCATTTATTCTATTCCAAAATTCAATATAGTAGAACAAAAGTAGCGTTGTATGTCGTGTCACTTATGCAAATATGAACAGATAGCAGACATATTTAAACTGAGCTAGCTAGAGTTGTGGAGTCTGACACAATTGCACTAGAGTCGAAGGCTGAGCCCAAAAATATAACTCCAATTCCGGGAAAAAAAGATTTTTTATTTCTTACTTTTCCCTATTCAAGTTTTTCTGTATTCTTCATTCTTCATTTTTCGTTTCGAGAATTCGAAACTATTGGACACTGTGGTACCCCCCGATATTCGATATTTTAACGATATTATTCACCGGAGTGGTTTCAAATTTCGTATTTAGAGTTTGTAATTGGAACTACAGTCTATGCGAGAAAATTGTCTATGCAGGTCCAGGTCTTCGTATAGGACTCATATATCAGTACCTCCCTATATTCGGTATTTTGACGATTTTAGGTACAATATTTGCCGGAAATGTTTAAAATGTAGTATTTGAAGTTCCTAATAGGTACTACAGCCTGTGGCAGAAAATTGTATATGCTGGTCCAGGTCTTCATATAGCCCCGATACAACGATACCTTCCTATATTCGGTATTTTACATTATTCAGCGGATTTTTTTCAAGTTTTATATTTGAATATTGTTATGGCTTATGACAAAAGTTGCCTATGCAAGTCCACGTCCTCGTATAGACCCCAATATTTTTAAGATTTTAAAATAATTTTTACGTTTTTGATAGAATTTTTAAAAGTTGTTCATTTTTTGAAAATTTCCAAATTAGTTCCAAACGGTGAAACGAACAACAATTTTTGTGAAAAACTACGGAAATTACCAAAATCGCAATTATATGAAAGACGAACCTCTGATCTATACATTGATATTGATTTCGTTGCCGAATATAGCTAAATATTGGAGATACAGGAAATATATAGACAAATCTAAATCTTCAAATATTCTTTTGAATAGGACAAATACTACGAATATTTGCATGACTTCGTGGTTGCGATGAAGAGCCAATTTAAAACTTTTGCTGCAATATCTAACATTATTTCGAGAATGAAAATAGAATGTAAAGTTTCAGGTCTTTCAAATGGAGCGAACTAGGTATTTGATGTAATAGAAACATCTGTTACGATGGGATGTTTCTTACTGAAATCTTCATTCTAGTCAAAGGGTTTCAGATATGCAAAAGCTTTAACTCTAATCGTAGTGTTGTAGGTATTTAAATAGTCGGCCCCGCCCGACTATAGCCTTTTCTTACTTATGTTATTCGTAGTTTTACGACATTGAGTGTCGGACTTCGAACCTTCGGAAGCCACCACCCTTGGTAATGAGGGAAATAAATTATTTTGCTTTGTAATTTTTATTTTTTTTTTTTTCTGTATGAAATAGACTATTATCTTCAACTTACTGGTAATTCATTACTTTGTAATTTTTACAAGGCTCAGTTATGTGCCCATATGAGAGAATCGAACACAATAACTGTTCAAAGGTGTTTTTAATGTTGGTTCGCAGATGGGCAATATTGGCCCAGTAATTCTGCATAAACTGCAAATTTCTATACAAAACCATACATTTTACAGAAGACGAGACGAGAGAATCCTACTTATGTAATATAGTCTTAGGTCAGTTGTGAAAATAAACAATAACGGATAAATATTTCTGTTATGGTTAAACAAATTTCAAACATCCTAATATTAAAGTCAATATTTCATTTCATATCATTCTTCTTGATATGTTCTCTATAAGCACTGCATACTTGAAAGAATTAGAAATGACGTATAAAGCGACATAAGCTAATGATTCAGTTTAAATCTCGAATATCATAATGTTGCAATTCACTGATGTGCGGTGAGAAAGTAGATAATATGGGCACACTCCTCTAACCATAAAGAGGCTAGAAATCTAGAGATGTTTTTTTTTTCATAAAACACAATTGTAAATAATTATATGCTATATAGTTTCTATAAGAGCTACGAGTAACCTAGAAAAATTAAAAACAAATATTCCTGTTTCGTTATGCACCGTCAATATCTCAACTTATATGATAGTATTTCATGTTCCTCTAACTTCTTTTCAAGCCGAGAATGAACAATTGAAAAACTTAGGTGTCGTGAGATGACATGACAGCCACTCAGAAAACAAACGGCCTTAGTCAAGAACTATGCTCTAATTACATATTGGAGAACTGTTTGACTTCAATATTTAAACAACTGTTTGTGCATTGGAGCACAGTTTCACAGTCAAAAAATTAATTTCCAATAAATACACACTCCAATCAGGAAGAAAGTATCATTCATTCATCTGCTCTGTGTTCTATCGAAGTATCAATTCAGAGCAGTCTTCCAATTTACAATGAAATTTTCCATTGGATTCCTCTTCGCCTTGTTGGCCATATTTTGTGCCATTCAATGCAGCTCAGCAGCCAATGCTCAAATCTCCAAAAAAGGACGTTTGGAAAATGCCTTATCTAAAGCCGAACACAAAGAGGCCGACTTAGCCAAATTGGATAACAAGCATAAGGAGGAAGCTAAAGAAGAGACTGAATTGTTGAAACCCAAAGAGCACAAAGACGACGATGATGAAGAAGATGAGGAAAACGAATTGGAGCAATTGGAAACTCGTGCCAGAAGACGCCGCCGCCGCACCAGGAGGAGGAATGTTCGTCGCAACAGACGCAATAAGCAAAGACGTCGTCGTGTTCTCCGTAAACAACGCAAGAACCGCAGAAACCTCCGCAGACAACGTAAACAGCGTAGGAATCGTAGGAATCGCAACATTCGCAAGAACCGCAGGAACCGTAAATTCAACCGCAGACAACGTAGAAATCGCAGGAACCGCCGTCAACAACGTCGTCGCAACAGGAATCGTTCCGGTTAAGATACTCCTAAACAAAATTGAATGAAATAATAAAGAGATTTTTCAAAGAAAATATGCAAATGTAATTCTGATCTTTTCTATTACACTTTAGCCATATATTTGAGGGGTCAAGCTGTTATGTTACTCCTAGAATCGCTTAGACTATTTAAGAATATGGATTATAATCCATATTAAAAATTGCATTAGGAACAAAACATGGGGGGAAACCTAATAATTTTGTGTTAAAAACTAAATGTTTACAATGTTATAATAAAATAGTCTTCTAAAGCTATTATTCTCTTCCAATCTTTACGAGTTAAGCCATTGTTTTTCTTATATTTCTTCTTCTATTTCTATAAGAGAGGGAAATGTTTGTATGTTTGATTGTTTGTTTGAAAGTTATGGGCTCAAAAACTGCAAAACCAATTTTTCTGAACATTTCTGAAATTTACAGCAGAACCAATTTTTCTGAAAATTTCTGAAATTTACAGCATTGCCTGAAAGTAACATAGGCCATATAATTTTGAGAATTCCACTTGGAACTGGAGGTATAGCCTCAGAATCGGAGGTACCTCCAAATAATTTTGATTTTGTATGCACATATCTATTGATCGGTTAAAGATGCAGTGTTCAAATTTGGAACAAAAATAATTATATTCAAATCGGTTCAGATTACATTCAAATCTGTCCAATTATATTGAAATCGGTTGCTCTGGTACTAGGCTAACAGTAAAACAACTACAACAATAATTCAATAAAGGCTACAATTATTACGGGGAAGTACACACATATTAAAAATATTCGCGGTTTAATGGAAAATTTGACTTTTATTTAACAAAAATGTTATAGTCTATTTCACCCACTAAATATTACAAAATTGGAAGACTTCTAGCCACCCCCAAGCCCTAGCTCCATGCTAACTCCCGTTTCAATTGATCCATTATTACGACCTGTAGAGCAACTGCAAAATCAGGACATTTTTCAGTTTTTGGTCCATTTCAACCCCTAAATATTATACGATCATCTCCAAAAGCAAAAGGGTTCTATTCTGATCATAACCCCATCTCAATTTTCAATTTCGAGAGGATCGGACTATAATTGCGACCTGTAGAGTGATTACAAATTAACATGGACAGACGGACGGACGGACATACATAGCTAGATCGACTCAGCTCGGCGAGATAGGAAGATCCATATATACTTTCCTATGTGGGAAACCAATATTTCGAGGTGTTACATAATTTTTGGCCCAATCAAACTTATAATACCCCCAACACATAGTGTTGTAGAGTATAAAAATGGTTTATTATTCTTGAATTAAAAACCACAAAGTGCTTGTATATAAAATGTTGAACGCATATAAAAACGGCTGCGCACCCGTTTTTATATGCGCCGGTTTCAGCTAGTTATTAACATATATTGACATCCGTCATATATTATTTTTGACCCCATGCATAAATAATAAATAAATAAACAAAAATATAATCATTTTGGGGAATCAGAATTCCTGAAACTTCGCACTTCATAATATTTGTATAAGACTTACATGAGGTGTTAGTATCAAAAACAACCACTGATTTATTGATGCACTCCCCCCGCAAAAGTTAAAATTTGTAAATTAATATTGCCCATAATATTTGAATTAATTATTGGTCTACTTTTTCTGGACTCTTACATTCAAACATGTGAAATTAGTGACATATTTTCTTCAAACTTCAAACCGTACATCTAAAGTTTCATGCCAATATAGATCTAGTGTGAAAGTTGAATATTTATTTATCTTGCAGTCCGTGCCCAAAAAGTTTAAATCTATGAATCGAACAAAATCATCTAACTTATTTGAAGCGAGAGATTGTGATACGTTGCCCAAATTGTGTACATTAGTATCACGTTAAAACGGCCCACTGGTTTTCGAACCTTCCCCACAATAGGTGTATATGTTAAGTAAGTAATTAAATTAAATAATAAACTATTATAAATTAAATTCGTCATACTGGTATCTTCTTAAAATGTTTGCTGATAAAACAGCTAGTGTGAAAATGTGATATATATCCATCCCTTTCTTCTCGATGAAGGGTCATAATTTTCACAAATCATAAATTACATAGACCTTTTAGACCAAACTGTGGACATCGGAACCGTATCGTACCGTAATGTATGGGTACATGCCTGTCGACAAACCGACTCATTCTTTCGAACAGGTTTACGTTCAAAATGGCTCAAGTCGGTAATAATTTTGATTAAAAGTGAAGAGTTAGAAAAAAAATAAAAACAAGTAAAATACTCTCCACCATACAAAAACTTGATTTATGCCCAAATCGGCTATATGTAAAATATCGAAATTCCTTATATATATTTGCTATATCTACACTGAATGCTTTTGGTAGAAGTTAAACTGCCTACTGAGGACTAGAAAAGTCAAATAACATTTGAAAAGGAGCTACCGTTGCATGGTGCCTACCAAGAAGTGGACCCACATGAAGTATTTTTCATTAGGTTTAAAAAACTTTATACCATTTCAACATAGCCTGAAGAATGTGTATTAAATTTTGCGATAGTCGGTTAATATATAGCTTTATATGTACTCCACAACAACCATATTTCGTCCCCGGAGATACAGCAAAAAAAATCCTCTACTAATTGTATAGTGGTCGGTTCAAGGTAAATCTTCTTGCGATTTCACCTTTATTGAGCCTAAAAAGTGCAATATCAGCTTAAATTGGATGGATTTTGATGAACACAAATTCTCTGTCCAACTTAGTAGAAATCGATTAGGAAGAGGATATACCTCCCATATTTTAACTCCATTCGGCTTTAAATTATAAATGCTTTAAAGTCATAATACGCCTTTAAAAACAATCATAGTTGGTATCATTTAATTCTCATAGATTCTCCATAAAAACGTTTATTTGTAAGGGGTAGCTGTACTTAATATCCAAAGTGGTGTAGGGTATCATAAAATCCGATTTTTGGTCTTTCTTTATTTGTTTTAAGTATAACTACATTTTAAAACAATTTGCTTCCGGCCGAACTTAACGTTAAAGCTGATTTTCTGTTTTATACCCTACACCACATTTGTTTGCATGTCCGTCCGTCTGTCCATGTGTTCTTGGATAATAAATGCAGGTCGCATTTATTATCCGATTGAGATGAAATTTTCCAAACAATAATTGTTTGGCCCAAGGTCGAACCCTATTGAACCCTTTAGCACCCCTATATCTTCAACCGATTTCTGGTTAATTGCGCACCAAAAGACCTGAATTTTGGCACATTCAACAGAATGCAATCTAGAAGAAATTACGTCAAATTTACTGAAAATCGGTTCGGATATAGCTATAGCTTCCCATGCATATGTTTCATCCGACTTGGTGTTTAAGTCCCTCACATTTGTAATTCATTCGACAACAATGATATTTGGTACCAGATATCAGATACAGGCCAGAAATACCTCTGCCAAATTTTCGGACTTCATTAAGGCATTTTACTCAGATTGTCGATTGATCCATGACCTGAACATATTGCCCTAGCTTAGCATTATTTTTTAAAAAACAAAAACATTTCTCTTTCATTTCAATGGTAATATCTTAGAAACTATTGAACGATAGTTTTGAAATAGCCAAACACGCCCACTTACTTCTTTTCAAAACTTACAACGTAGAACCATTCAGTTCTAACAGTTTGTACCCAAACACAATGACAAATTACGAGGGGCCTGTTCTAGTCCAAATTCCAGGGTACCACAAAGAATGTAAACATTTGTTGTTTACCACATGTAAAGTTTGTAGGTCACAGCGATACCAATGTGTGTTTGATCATGTTAATATACAAACATGACTATTGACACAATTGGAGGCCAGCCATGAGCCCTTTCATACCCAGCAGTAGTCAACTAATCATATAAATATCTTTTGAATTTCGAGATAGAAGCATCAGATACTCATCACTTGTCTATCTATCAACAACTCAATCCACTGTCTTGTCGAAGAATATCCGAAGTGATAAAATTTCAAAATGAAATTATCTTATCTCTTAGCCTTGGCCTTCTTGGCTGTACTGTGTATGGTACGCCACAGTTCTGGTGCTTCAGTCCATGTCACCGAAAAGCCGGAAATTCAAAAGGCTGTCGCCGAACACCGATCGACGGAAACTGAACTAAAACCTGAAGAAGCCTCGAAGGACGACAATGACGACGAAGACGAGGATCTTAACAACAAATTGTTGGAAACTGAAGATGGCGAACTCGAAGAGGATGAAGATTACGATGAAGAGGAAGGCGATGATGATTACGATTATGATTTGGAAGAAGCCGATACTCGGGCCAACAAACAACGCAACCGCCGCATCAGGAGATTGCGTAAAATTCGCCGTAACAGACTTATTCGCCGTCGTCGCAACCGTAACCGCAAGCTCCGTAAGCAGCGTAAGCAGCGTAAACAACGCAAGATCCGCAAGCAGCGCAAGATCCGTAAGCAACGCAAGATCCGCAAGCAACGCAAACTCCGCAAGCAAAGAAAACAGCGTAAGCTACGCAAACAACGCAAACAACGCAAGAACCGTAAAAACCGCAAGCCACGCAGATTCCGCAGGAGGCGTATTGCAAGACGCAAACATTCCGGTTAAATTTTATAGTCTAATGGATTTTCAAGTTATGACAAAAATATATTCCAATTCTAAATGAAATCGCTACTTTGTTGTTGTTGTTGTTTTAATCTAATTTAAGCATTTATTCTAAGAGAATCTTGCAATGGTTTACTTTTTTGCCAGGATTTTATTAATATTTTGCAATTCCCGAGTACTCCATGGTTCCAAGGGATCAGGAGGTGACATTTCATCCTCATCATGTTTCTTTTTCATGGGTGCCGAACGGCCACGTCCATATTGCTCTTCACTCCCAGCATAATCTGGAGCAACTCTAGAGGAATTAAAAGTATGGAAATGAGTAACAACGAATATCTCCACTATTTTTTGTGCTTACTTATTCTTGCGCCTTATTCGAGCCGTCTTAGCACGACGTGCTGCATCGTCCTGCTGATATTGACGCTTACGCAAATGAAATTGCTTCATGGTAGCGTGTACTTCCTCCGCTGTGGGTATATCGTCCATGGTCTCACCCGAATCATCGTTTGCATCTTCGGTCTCCACATCGGCCTCTTGTTCCACTGTCAGGACATGTTCAGCCAGAGCTTCTTGGAAATCAAAGGCCTAGGAAACTGAATTGTTAAATTCTTGTCATTTGATTGTAGTTAAGTCTAACCTACCGGAATACTGTCCTCATCATTGTCGGCTGGCACCTTGTCCCACACCGAATTAATTAACTTATCCGAACTGTCGCCAAGAGTACTCTTGGGTATGGGTACCTTAAATAGGGCATTGCGTGTCCTGCGGGCCAATGAAAGTTTTCCCAAAATTGGACCACCTCCATCACTTTCCTCGGTCTCAACATCAGCTACCATTTTCAGAAATTGTTCGAGTTTCTTTGGGTCCACAATATCTTTGGGGTCTTGAAAGAGATTGGTAAGATTGGCACCCATGGCCATGTCGCCAAGGAGTCCAGCATCAGCAGCAACGGGATCGGGTTGTTTTGTCAGTGTGACGTCCTTCAAACTGGTGGCCTCTGTGAGTGGTATCGGCTCCTCAACTTGTGGCTGATGTTGGCTTTCCAGGGTTTTCTTCACCAAATCATAGGCCTTGTTGGCCAACTGAATCAATGCTGAATAGAATTGTGGATCGTGTACTTCCGGCTTCTCTTCGGCTAACAGAACCAAATCACGCAGGGGATCTGGTGCGGGAATGTGTGGCACATCCTTCTTCTCCTTGGGGTCCTGAGTACCAGAAGTTCTAAAAGCCAATCCCGAGCTGGAGGCTGGGTCATTGGCAAAATTAAGCATGTCCATGGCACTGGTCAAATTTGATTGACCCCCAGGCTCTTGATTTAGATTGTAGGGATCCTTCAGTTTCTTCTTGGCCACTTTAATGGGACTCGATATGGATGCTCGGCCCCACATAAGACGACGCATCTCCTCACCCGTCATTCCACGTTTTTTCAAGGCATTGAGCGTTACACGGCCCACTCTCTTCCAATTCGATACTGCTCCCTTGCGTTGTTTGGCTCTTGTCTTACTTTTGCTCTTAATGACCATTACTCCCCTAACCTCAAATCCGGAATCATCCGAAGGACCCAAGGGTATGGAATAGGCTTCCAGATAATTTTTTGCATCCGCTTGGGGAACTGCCCTTTCCAGTGTGACCACAATCTTGGCCCACTGTTTCATCCATTCCTTTTCGGATTGTTCAATGACATGGGCGTAGGTGTTGCCCATCATGGCGATCAACATGTTCAGCAACAGAATGGGAACGAAAATCATGAAAATAACGAAAACGGTTTTCGACAAGTTCGGGTAGGTTGTTTGATTCAGATCGGGATACTGGAAAACAAAATTGTGAAAAGAGATTTGAATTTTTCCAAAAAAAGGGATTAAAAGATAGTTAGTGATCCCATCATGGATCACTTATTGATCTACCCCCGTACATTTTTGCACACTTACATTGTAATCTCCCAAAGTGGTTTGAAACAGGGCCATCCAGGTGCTGGGAAAGGTATCAAACATAGTCGACTGCAATTGGGGATGTCCTTTGTAAAGGAAATAAAACGCCTGGGAAAAGCCACACAGAACAATGGAGTAAATAATGCCAAACGTAAACATGTCACCTGTTATCATGGAGTAGATCATGGTTACAAAGGGACCGGTCAAACGAATTGCACTGAAAATAAGAAGCACTTCTTGAAGTCTGTTTTCATGTAATTACTTGCACTTACCCCGCAAAGAACATGAGCAAGAACCAACTTCCCGGCACAGCAAATATAAGTATGGCCTCTTCTGTGTCCGTGTCACCCATTAGGCGAAAGGGTATGCAGGCCAAAATCATCAGATTCGAGACCAAGAATATTACCTTAGCTGGAGCATGGGACTTGGAAAAAGAAAGACTTTTTAAAATATATTCAAAATGTTTTATCCAAATACTCACCAATTGTTTGAGGAAGGCTGACAATCCCTGATTCTTTATTTCATCGCCTTGTTGGAAAATCAGGAAACTAAGGACCCCCGCAATGGTACACAGCTCAGCACAATATCTAACTATTGTTTGAATATCATATTCTTCGTTTTCTGGATCATTGGTCTGTAGTCCTGCATTAGCCTGAGCCGTTTCATCTTCTTCGTCATCATCGCCATCATGGGCTGGCCTCAGATACACCGACGTTGAGAGGCATAACAAATGCACCACCAAAATCAGCAAACGCTTTAGAAATTGATTCTGGGCAAAGGTCTTCCATTTCTCCTCCAGGAGACGCTGTATAATCCCACCATCTAACATATCCAAATGTTCCTCCTTGGTACCGTTCAAAATAATAAACAAGGCCGAATTCCAATCTGTAAATAATTGGGATATTGCATCCATCATCATCATCTGTAGTATATTAATTTGTGCTCCATCTCTTACTGGTCCTCCCATCTGGTAGCAGCGTGTCCAAAGCATTCAAAGGATAACCCGAACAGGTAATGTTACTATAACGCCAAAATTCTCTGGCCGATAGTTCCAACATTTCCCTGAACACCTCAGCTCGACCCAATTTGCAAGCCAATGTTAGAGGTGTCAGACCAGAATGATTAACAATTCCATTTTTGGCCGGAGTCTTGGGGTGGCGTAGAGCATATCCAAACATGTCCTTTGAAATAAATAGTGCAGTAAATGTGAAATATAACATGAAACAAGTGGCAAAAAGTGGACAACCATTCCTGATTGTACTCACCAACTTATCACACACCACCACCATGTGCAGGATCATGTTTCCAAAACTATCCTGGGCATCGGGATCGGCATCATGATCAATCAACAGATTATAGACACTTTCATTGGCGCAGCAGGCAGCCCATGACAATGGATATTCTCCCATATAAGCCAAACCCTCGTAATCTGTACTCTTTGCCGGATTGGCTCTCTGTTGATCCTTGGGCAAAAAGAAACTTCCAATAGCTCTCTGATTGATGTCAGCTCCTGCCTCAATTAAATCGGCAACCAACTCATTATTGCTATAAGCTATGGCCAAATGCAATGCACTTGCACCCAAATACTCCTCGCCCTCGATGACATCCAATGCCAGGCGAGGAAACACCCTCAACAAGATACGCGCCAATTTGGTATGCATTTTGGAATCGCAAATAATCAAGACATGCAGCAGACTCTCTCCCAAGGCGCCACGATACTGCATCTGCCAACAGGCACTGTGATCCTTCCATTTACCCAATGGATCGTGTATGGATAAAGAGGCTTCTATGGGTATGGTCACTTCGGTGTGGTCACGATATTTCCAACGCAAGAATTCGGCACGATTAATTACCTGACCCTTGCCATCGTTGTACATAAATATGCCGAATTGTTCGCGAATCAGTTGCTCCACAGCCACCAGGCCACCGGTGTTGATGGCATCAATGAGGTCGCCTCCTATTTCATTAATTTAAAATGTTCAATTTTTTAACTAAAATTTAGTCACTTGTTCTCTTCACTCACCCCGTTTGTAGTCCGCCAACTTGTAGAGCAAACATTTGCTAGCTGTTGCCGATGACTGTGAAATAACAGCATCTAAAATCGCACCAGGTTTCAACTCCTGGGGCTTTTTTCTCAAACACTTTTTCATGAACAGCCTCATTTCGATTTCCTCCACTGTTCGCAACCATTCACAATTAGCGTTTGGCAAATTTTATATAAATTGTTTAGTCAATTCATATATTGGTCGTTGGGCCCCAGCGTTGCTAGGACACAGCTATATTTGTTGTGCCATCGTAAATAGGTACTTCACAACAATCGATATTTTCGTTATTTGCCAGGGTCATTTTAAGAGACATCTAAGGGGATTCTTTGATAGATAATTATCTTAAATAGAGTCTAACACTGATCTTAGTTAAATTAGTTTCTATACCCGGAGCCGGAAGAATGGTTGAAGTTCGAATCATTGATGCCGAGATTTTTGGAAACTCGTACGAGAGGTATGAAACATTTTACCATGGATAAAGACTTCTGAATTTGTGTGCGGGAATTTCTATGATAATCAAAATGATAAGGCTAACATTTTTTTTAAAATCCGTACTGATAAAATTTCTGAAAGCATCAATTTTGTGTAGAGCATTTGGAAGTAGCAACGTAGGTTTGTCTGTTATAAATATAATTGTCCTCAAGGCATGCTCCGTCCATCAGTCCGTATGTTGTAATCACTCTACAGTCAACACGAATTAAGATACACAAGGAGTTCCTTGTGAGTACTTTATTTCCAAGAAGAGAATTGGCTATATAGGTCCACGATATCGTATAGCCCCCATATAACGGCACCGCCCGGTACTTGGTATTTTTATGATTTTAGCCACATTTTTCAATGGAATTGTCTGAAATTCTACACAAGGAGTTCCGTATGAGCACTTTATCTCCTGAAAGAGAATTATCTATATAGGCCCATGATATCGTATATTCCCCATAAAACGGTACCTCCCGGTTTTGGGTGTTTTGATGATTTTAGCCACATTTTTCAACGGAATTGTCTGAAAATTCACACAAGGAGTTCCGTGTGAGTACTTTATCCCCTGAAAGAGAATTATCTATATAGGCTCACGATATCGTATAGTGAATTTTTAATGGATTTTATTTTATTTTTTTTTTTTTTTTTTTTTGAAAATTACCTTATTTGTCCTAAATGGTGGATGGTATTCAAAGTTCGGCCCGGTCGAACTTACTGCATTTTTTACTTGTTAAAGTTTATACAGTAATGTATCCTAAATGAAGAGGTCGAGTTCACCCCCCGCCTCTTCCACAATTTTTGAAATCTTCGGATTAAGATTTCTTCGAAACCTTAAATTTTAGGTATATACGTTATTCAGCAATATTACTGATAACACTACAAGGATTATTTTTTAGCCCCATTCAAAAAAAAATAATAATTTTATACAATATTTTTAATTGGGTGTATTCCGCTTAAAGGGGTTTTTTACCATACTTGGAAAAATATCATTAAAAAGGCCCCTCTGATGACTGGCTTGTGGCTTATAATTTTCGACCAAATAAAACTCAGCCATGTAGCAACAAAGGATACATATCATTTCATATTTAATGAAGGACAAACGTCCATCATAGAAATAACAGTTTTGGACCCTAGGATCAAATACTTTTCAGGACATTTGGAGTTGATCTAGGGACATGCGTCCGCCCGTCTGTCGTGCGCACCAGTTAACTCTCGAAGGGGGTATCCAATTTGTTCCAAAATTGATACATTGTAACATTATTTTCAAACTTACAACGAGTTCGGAGATAACCTATATCGGTCCACCTATATCGGGTACCTCCCCACAAAAGGTCGAAATTTTCCAAGAAAATATCTAACTTCATACAAGGAGAACCGATCATCGTAATATTGGCATCAGTGCTAGGTTAGGTGCGAAAATAGACAATATAGGCCCACTCCACAAGTACCTCCCACACCAAGGGTTAAAAATTTTAAATAATTATAGCTCTTATAAAATGTAAAATAATAGTCCAATTGTCCTAAAATTTCAAAACAGAACAAAGAATAATCCTCATATGATATGAATCCTGGCATTTATAAATGGTGTCATTCATTTGTTATCTTGTTTATTCAATGCTTAACTGAATATAGAATTGCATTTTTTTATTCTAAAACAAGTAAAAAAAACATTAAGTTCGGCCGGGCCAAACTTTTAATACCCTCCACCTACTGAAAAAATGTGGCAAAAACCATCAAAATACCAAATATCGGGAGGTAGCGTTATATGGGGGCTATACCAAAACGTGGACCTATACATGCAATGTTTTGCCACACGTACAGGGACCCGTTATGCCTACAAATACCAATTTTCAGACAAATCCGTGAAAAATGTGGCATAAATCATCCAAATACCGAATATCGGGAGGTACCGTTATATGGGGACTATACCAGAACGTGGACCGATATTTTCAATACCAACCATCCTAGACACAATACAAATTGCTCTGCTAAATTTTGGCGCTCTACGTCAAATAATATGGGCTGTATAGTGATTTCAACAGACAGACAGACAGACGGACATCGTTAAATCTTAGAATTTTATGCTGATTATGAATATTTATACTTTATGGGGTCTACGACGAATATTTAAGGATGTTACAACGGAATCACAAAGTTAATATACCCTCCTTTCCAAGGTTGAGGGTATAAAAACATGGCATACCTGCGAAAATGACAGATAAAAATCTTCGCTAAAAAATTGCAACGTAAATACATGTCAAATCGGCGCAATCTTTCCTATACTTCTTTGCCATTAGAACGGATAATATGTCTGTCTAACATACAAATCTGATATGGGCGAGTATTACATTTTGCGCTTTAAAATTTCCGGCTGCATAGCGAGGATCTTATAGACCTTAGGAAACTTAGGTCATCTTTCCCATTTTAATTCCCAATGTCAAATATTATCGTGAATACAATATAAATGATGAATATAATATAAATTTTACTGTATTACATATTAAACTTATTTTATACTAGGTAGTTGGAGCTATTGAGAATAATAGTCCAATTGTCTTCAAATTTCAAACATCTCAACATTTTTATAAACACAAGATCTGATATGAAGATGAAGTATATAGGATCACTCTTTCTGCTCCACAACGGGTCAAATTATTGAATACTCATGAAGCTCAAAATGAGTATCCGATTCCTTTCAAGCTTGGTACATCTTAACATTTCTATCAACGAAGATATGTTTTGAACATGGAAGGGATTGGACCACTCCTTCTGGTATCTCCCTCAAAAACCGTTGACATTTGTTAACAATCGTATTCGCATACAAATGCTTGATTTTTTTTTTTTTCAAATTTTTGTATCCCAACATTTGCACCAGTATTAGATGAATTCAATACTTTATTCCACTATATTTGGTATTTCATGTACATTTCAACATCTTCCACGTTGTAACATTTATATTACATTTCTTCGGAACTATCGAAAATAAAATCGAAAACGATGTAGTTCTTTGAGGATCATATTGAGTCGATCTTAGGGTTGCGGACTCCAGCCAAGCGGAATCTAAGCTAAAAAATATATCCAAACTTTATCTTTATATATTTTCACCTAAGTTTACTCTCTGGCATCCTAATACATTATCTTAAGGAGCCTACAAAAATTCTAAATAATATATTTTTAATAAAATTAATATTAAAGCAGCCATTTTCTTTGTCATCTCTCACAATGTCCATTCGAATGTTAAATAAATACTCTGGTCTCAAAGATTTTGTCCACCATTCCTAAGAATAAACGAATGAAGGAAGCCAACAAAATAACCAACGACAAAGAAATCGAAACGCAAATGCAATAAATATCGATTCACCAATACACATTAAGAAAACCACATACATACGTATACCACAGCATTCACCTTCGCCGAACAATATCCGATTGAACAATTTAAAGTACATTAATGTTAACATATATACACACACATGCATGCATTTGTACATTTGTTGTATGTGTACATCCAGTCCGAATGTTGGAGGATGCATGCGTGTTGCTGGCAGATGGGTGGAGTTTTCCAGTGGCTAAATCAACATTCCAATACACTTACATATGCACATAATATACACCAGCCTTTTATATATATTGTGGAGATATAAAACGACATTTATATATAGCATGTGTATTATAAATGTGTGGTATATAAACCACATACATATATTGCGATAAAAATACAATACATTCATGTGTGGCACTGCAAAGATGTAACATTTTTATATAATACATGTTTCTGTATATGTGTATGTGTGTGAGTACCAACAATTCTAGAACAAAGTGCTGTGAAAACGTCCATTCCATAGCATGCGTCCAATCAGAATCGAAAAAAAGAAGAAAAACACAAGGAAAAAGAAGAATGACAAAAGCTTGCAAAAATACACATACTTTTGCACCGTCACTACAGCTGAAAGCAGCTCGAATTCAAGCAGACAGAGAACAGTGTTGTTGGTTAGAATTTGAATAAGAGGAAATTTTATATGGCAAAAAATATATCTTGCCGAAATAAAGGGGTCTCTTTAGGAATCCATTTCCAGACAATTGGAGTCCATCGATTGTCGAACGATTACTCTCAAATGGAGTATCCGATTTGTATCAAAAATGGTAAACCGTTACAATTCTCTACATGATGTGTATTTTCAATAGAAGTCACATGACAAAGACTTTTCAGAATAACCATTTCAGACGTTGTGCAATGCAATTTTACAAAATTGTAATAAAGAATTAAAAAGCGATCAAAATGCTCTCTGCAATTTGATTGACAGTTTTTCAAAACGACCCCACTGTGGGCAGGACAAATCAGCAAACAATGTTGCTAGGAAAATGAAAAAAAGTAAATGACAAAAACACCATTGCGAAAACGACGACCGCGAAGATGATGCGGAGCATACAAAACCGACATACATATGTGAAACAAAATAAAAAACATTTTTGCTGCTGTTTTCCTTTTTATTTGCGTCTCTCTCTCATCTGTCATCGAATATAAGATGAAAGGACGAATAAAGAAAAAAATTCGCTCTCACTCACACTAGTTCAATCGTTAGTGTATGGGTGTTGGTTGATTCCTTTGTAGCGGTATGTTTACGTGGATATATCATCTGTCATTTGTATAATTTTTCTCAAGCACACATACGTAGTACATATGTGTGTACTTATTTGTGCTTCAGATGCTTTACATTACATTGGATATCTTAAGATTTTAAC